AAAGAATGAGTTCTTATCCCAGAAGCTGGGGTCTTTGGGTTTATCAAATAATAGATCACTATAGTCATTGACTACTGTGTCTTGCATACTTAACTTATTACACTGATCCACCACTCTATTTCTTAGCCAGTACCAAGCAGTTTTGATGATTGCTGCTTTATAATACAATTTAAGATTTGGAATGGCTAGGCTACCTTCCCCTGCATGTCTTTTCATTAGGCCCCTTGATATTCTGGACCTTTTGTTATTATTTCTTCTAAGTCAGTAAAATAATTTTTTGGTAGTTTGATTGGTATGGCACTGAATAAATAAATTAGCTTGGGTAGAATTGTCATTTGTATTATATTAGTTTGCCCTACCCATGAGCAATTGGTGTTTTTCCAATTATTTAGATGTAACTTTATTTGTGTGAAAAGTGTTTTATAATTGTGTTCATATAGTTCCTGGGTTTGTTTCCGTAGTAGACTCCTAAATATTTTATATTGTCTATAGTAACTTTAAATAGAATTTCTCTTTCTGTCTCTTGCTGTTGGGCTTTGTTGGTAATATATAGAAATGCTAATGATTTATGTGGGTTTATTTTATAGCCTGCAACTTTGCTAAAGCTGTTTATTATTTCAAGTAGTTTTTTACTTGATTCTCTAAATTCTCTAAGTATATCATCATATCATCTGCAAAGAGTGATAGCTTCGTTTCCTTGCCTATTCTAATACCTTCAATTTCTTTTTCTTTTCTTATTGCTGTAGCTAATGTTTCCAGTATGATATTGAACAACAGTGGAGATAATGGACATCCTTGTTTCACCCCTGATCTTACTGGAAATGCTTCTAGCTTATCTCCATTACATATAAAGGTTTTAGGTAGATGCTATTTATTATTTTAAGGAAGACTCCATTTATTCCTTTGCCAATAAACAGGATCTCAGCCCCCTCAGAAAAGTTAAAACTCTAAATGAGAAGTATAGCTTTTTTTAATAGACAAAAGGAGGTGCATTGAAAATAGAAGGCAGAGTCATAGATATGGAAAACACTGTGACATGTTACAGAGTTTGTAGAATCATAGGAATAGGAAACAATATAATTGACTGGAAATTGGGAATGAGGGGCTAGCAACAACCCCTCCCTTCACCCTGCCACTAAGAAATGTTTGTTGTTTAAGTCTACTTACAAGGACAGTTTAGTGATATTAGAGCAGACTTCTTTGGATAACATGGCAGATTCCCTGTTGTTCACCTGCATCCTTCAAGGATAACATTTTCTTGAGGCAGTGATTAGCAAGAGAACTTAACTCAGTGACAACAAGTAATTTACAGGAAAGCTGAATCTCCAAACTCAACTCAGACAAATGAAACATGACTTAGGCAGTAACAAAAATGTCAGCAGCTATATAGAATGAAATCAATAACAAAACAGAATCAATTTTATTTTCCCAGTTTCCAATTATTTACCAGGTATTCACCCTGCAGACTGACCCCATATAGGTCAGTCCTGCCTGCCTTATCTTGAGACCTCAGAGATTTACTCAGCATCCATGGTCCTGGAGAACCTTCAATAATAACTGTGAAAAAAAATTGGAATCAAGTTTCTCTGATCAAGACCTCATTTCTCAAACACATAGAAAACTGAGTTAAAATTGTGGGAATAAGAACCATTCCCCAACTGATAAATGATCAAAAGATATGATCAGTTTTCAGATGTAGTAATCGAAGTTATCTATAGCCATATGAAAAAATACTCTAACTCACTACTGATTGGAGAAATGCAAATTGAAACAATTCTGAGGTACTACCTCATACCTATTAGATTGGCTAATAGGATGTAAAAGATAAATGACAAATGTTGGAGGGGATGTGGGAAAATGAGACATTAATATACTGTTAGAGGAGTTGTGGACTCATTCAACCATTCTGTAGAGCAATTTGGAACTATGCCCCAAAGGGCTATAAAACCATTCATACCCTTTGACCTAGTAATACCACTACTAGATCTGTATCCCAAAAGAGATAAAAAAGAAAAAGGAAAAGGACCTATATGTACAAAAATATTTATAGCAGCTCATTTCTGGGAGCAAAGAATTAGAAATTGAGGGGATGCCCATCAATTAGGGAATGGCTGAAAAAATTGTGGTATGTTGGATATATGTTATGATGGAATACTATCATAACATAAGAAATGATGAACATGATGCTCTCAGAAAGACTTGGAAAGATTTGAATGAGCTGATGCAAAGTGAAATGTACTGTGTACAAAGTAATAGCAATAATGTAAGATGATCAACTGTGAACAATTTAGCTATTGTCAGGAAAACAATGATACAAGACAACTCTGACTTATGAAGAAAAAACCAGAGACAGAACCGATGGTGTCTAAATATAGATTGAAGTATGTATTTTTTTACTTTCTTTGATTTTTTGTCTGTTTTCATTTACAGCATGACTATTATGAATATGCTTTGCATGACTATATATGTATAACCTATATCAAACTGTTTGCCTTCTCAGTGGGAGGAGGGGAGAGAGGAAGGCAGAAAATTTTCAACTGAAAGTTTTAAAAACAAATGTTAAAAATTGTTTTTACATGTAACTGGGGAAAAATAAAAATAAAATACTAAAAAAAGGGGAAAAAAAGAAAACACTTTACAAATATTATCTCATTTTATCTCCACAACAAACATGGGTCATAGGTGCTGTTATTATCTGGATTTTACAGATTGGGAAACCAAGGCAGTAACAGAGGTTAAGTGATTTGCCTATGATCACAGTGTCTGAGACCAGACTTAAACTCCTCTTCCTGACTTGATGTTCAGTGCTATATTGATTTTGTTACCTACCTATGTTTAAAAAAATCAAATCGGGGCAGCTAGGTGGTGCAGTAGATAGAGCACCAGCCCTGAAGTCAGGAGGACCTGAGTTCAAATGTGGTCTCAGACCAAACACTTGACATGTACTAGCTGTGTGACCCTGGGCAAGTCACTTAACCCCAATTGCAAAAAAAAAAAATCAAATGCATCCTTTTCTTAAAGTAGTGCACTAAAATTTATAAATAACAATTATAATCAATAATAATAGTGCAATAAAATTTTATTCAATAAGAGCCTTTGAATAATGCATTAAAATCAGTTGGTTACTAAATGACAATCCTAAAGGATTGCTGAGTCAAAAAACAAATCATCATAGAAACAATAGCTAATTATAGCAAAGAAAATTAAAACAGTGATAAAACATATCATAACTTTTGGGAGGCATCTAAAGCATTCATTGGGGGAAAACTTATATCTCTAAATACTTTTCATCAAAAAAACAGAAATAACAGATTAATTAATTTTTTAAAACTGGAAAAATAACTAAACTCATAAAAAAGCTATAATTTTTTATATTGTAAAAATAACTAATCTAAATAAACAACTAATTTAACCTAAACAACCAAATGCCAATTTAGTAATTCTGATAATCAACAATAGGGTTTTTGTTTTTGTTCCTTTTTTGCTAGACTGAATGTAACAGGAAGATCAAAGAAAGGATAGGACCTTTCTTTGGAGAAGAAGAAATGATAACTCACAACAAAGATGAAGCAGAGATTCTCAATTCTTGTCTTTTTTTTTTTTCTGCCAAGAAGAATAACTTTTACACTGAAAGCGACAGAACAAAAATAACTTACAGAGAATTGATACTTAAGATAAGTAAGGCAATAGTAGGAGAAAATTGAATTGCCCTTGCTAAACATTGAGTGGCCCAGCTGAACAACATCCTTTGTTCTTGAAAGAATTGGAAGATGTAATTGCTGAACTATATTGCCAATGATATTTGAAAGAGCTTAGAAAGCTAGAAAAATGCCACAAAATTGTAGAAAGGCAAATGTTCTGTTTTGTTTTTTGTTTTTTAAAAGGAAGAGATCAAAGTCTGAAAAATATAGGCCAGTAAACTTGACTTTGATTGCTAGGAAAATTTTAGAACAAATCATTAAAGAGATGGTTAATGAACAGCTTGTTAGGGAAGTAGTGATTACAAAAATAGGTTCATCAAAAATAGGTCATGCCAGACCTCATTTTTTTTTTTTGGACAGGATTACTAAATTAGTCTATGAAGGCAATGTGTGGTTATAGTTTACCTAGATTTTAGCAAAGCTTTTAATAAGCTGTCTCATACTTTTCCTGTGGAAAAGATGAAGAGATATGGATTACACGATAATACAATAAAATAATACAAAAAGAACTGGCCAGTCTTATAGAGTAGCTATTAATGTTTCAAAATTAACATGGCAGGAAGTCTTTGGTGGAGTACTTGCAGGGATTTATGATTGATTCTGTGAAGTTTAACATTTCCAGGTGATAATCTCATTGTACTTGGGTCAAATCCAGACACAAAGTTGGAGATAAATCAGAACAGCTTTATCATGAGGTTCAACAAATACCAATTCCTTCTCAGCTCACATCCCCCTTCTCCAGGAGGCCTTTCTGGTGACCCGGAATGCTAATGTCTTTTTCTGAGATATCTTCCAACTACTTTGTACAGACCATGCATATACCTTGTATATATATTTACATGTTCTCTTCTCCATTATAATGTGAGCTCCTTGAGAGCAGCAAAATGTCTTTGCCTTTCTTTGCATCCCCAAAACATAAAAACAGCTTAATAAATGCGTGTTGACGCGTATTATTTGCGTTGAAAAAGAACTGGAAAATGTATATAATTGTTGGAAAATTTTAAGAAGCTATTTGAGCAGAAATGGGCTTCTGTTTCCCAGTTCCTTTTCTACAGCGGAAAGGAGAGAATCCTTGCAGTTTCGGAAAAGCCAGATGACTCTTTCCACAGATCTCAGATTTTGCAGGTCTATTATTTCTGCTCCTTTGGAAGCGTCTCCTGGGCGTATCAACCATCTTTCTACCACGTCCGCAAGCTCTAACTTCCGCCCTCCTGAAGAAGAACTGAACAGGATCCGAGAAAGTCCATTCGGCCCCTGGCTGCGCAAGCGCAGGAGCCGGGGCACTTCCGGTTCGCGCAGGGGCGATGTTCCCTGTGCTCCCGGCTCGCCTGGGTAGGTCAAGGGGAGGCCGGCTGGAGCTGCGTGATTACGGCTTGTTAGCTGCCGCAGACGATCAGGCGGGGAGGCTGGTGCGTCCGACTGCTGTGGGCGAGAGGACCTTGAGGTTGGGATAGGAGGGAGCCTGCTGCGGGGAAGTGGAGTGGGCGAGGGTGTCTGTGCCTGGGCCCCCCGCTGAGGTTGCCTTCAGATCCTCATTTCCGTCTTGGAGCTTGCAGACGTTTCGTGTTTTGAGAGGAATCCTGGCTTCTGGATCGGAATAGACCCGCCAGCACCTATCAGTAACCTACCACTGATGTTTCCTCCTGCGTCCTTTTGACCCAAAAGTGCTGAAGCAGCTTTTTCTTAGTTTCTTCAGTGCCGTAGAAACACTTGGGTTTTAACCTTGGCTTTGCTATTGCTTAGCCATGTTGACTCATGGACACAACTTTATCTTTAACGGGGCAATATCATTTTCACTATTGATTTCATAGCATCATTGTGAGGATCAAATGACGTTATGTGTAGAAAGAGCTTAGCAGCCATAAAATTATTTATATATAAATTATTATTGTTGTTGTATGTATTTTTCTTAAATTCCTGGTCATCCTGGTTTTCACTAAATCTTATTGGTGACTTATAAGCAAATCAATGAATCAGATCCTTTCATTTGATTATATAACATAAGAGTCTGAAAAATATATTGCCTGACCCTAAATTTTCAAAATGAGTATGCTCATCTTCTCGTGGAGTTAAATGAATTGATTTTCCTGGAAAGTTTAGGTATGTTCAGTGCTCCCAAAGCCTTTACTCTTTCTTATTTTTGAAAGTAATTTATTTTGGCTCAGCAGTGTCTAGAAACAGGAGGAGAACAAGGACAAATTTCTCCAAACTAGATCTCAATTGGAAGATGAGTAGATTTGGGGGAAAAACTGCAACTGTACGGTCAGGGGAAGCTATGTCCCTTGGCCCCCCGATTCCCCATATGGAGGATGAGCTTGTCATAGTGAACTTGGAGAAAAAGGGTTGTAGAAGGGAGCAGAACACAAGCATTCAAGAGAGCAGCCCTCCAAAGCAGAACATCTTCCAAAACTTTAGGCAGTTTCGTTACTGTGAAGTTTCGGGTCCTCGAGAGGCTCTGACTCGCCTACAGAATCTCTGTTGGGAATGGCTGAGACCAGAGATTCACACAAAGGCACAGATCCTGGAGCTGGTGGTGTTGGAGCAATTCTTGACCATTCTCCCTGAGACACTCCAAACCTGGGTTCAGAAGCATTGTCCTGAAAGTCCACAGGAGGTGGTGACCCTATTGGAGGATTTGGAAAGAGAGCCAGATGAATCAGATCAGGTGAGCTAAAGGAAAGATAATTTGTGAACTATGTACTCTATAGTAGAAAAATTAGATGATGATATGAAAGATCATAGGTTCAATCCTTTAAATTGCATGTGGGGTGAGTGTTGAGCTGAGTCGGGAAGGATGCTTGGGGAGGCAAGTATTACAAGTTGATAAGCATTGTGTGAGTGGAGAGGCACAGAGGTAATGAACTCAATAAGCTATATGTTGGGCATAGAAAGTAGATTGACTTGGGTAGAGTTGAAAGGAATTCTATGGAATAATGAGATCAGTATCTCATTAAACAAGCAGTTAGTTGGAGATATGTAGAGGGACAAGAATATTAAGTTGAGGAGTTTGAATGATACCTTACTGGGCCTCGCCCTTGTATATTGAAGGATTAAATATATTTCTTATTCTTCTTTTCTTTTTCCTGTGTTCTTTTTCTTACAGGTTTTGGTTAAATAATATAATCTTTTTTTTTTAGGTCCCCACCAATGCACCAAAAAGACCAGTGTCTTCAAAAGAGACAGCAGCCCAGGGAGCAATGCAGAAATTTGATGTACATCTCCAACCCATGGAAACCCAGTTTAAGACTATGCCCTGCCCCCTACGGGAAAATGGTGAGGAATAGGGAAGTGGGGTAGTAGGGAGACTGAACATGTGAAGATGCAAGCCAACTAAATCGTATAAAGTGTTTACAGAGAAGCGTATCAAGAATGTATTTTAAGTGGTGTAAAAAGGCTGAGGATCTGTGGAGAAATGTGAAGTAGAGCTTAATCAGTCAAAATTTCCAAAAGAAGATAAGTTTAAAGATGGATTGTGAGAGGCATGAGGAAATTTGAAGATACCTCAGGTGGTGGGAAGCAACTATGAAAGTTAAGAGATGGGAGCAAACCAAGGAATGCTGTTGGGGGCTACTATCCATCCTATCCTGAAGATAGAAAGCAGATTAATTTTGTATATAAATGGAATAATGGGAAATGAACTTTGTTAGTAGTGGAACAGGAAGGGATCACTTCCTATTATTGAATGATCTTGAGTACTGGTAGTTCTGCTATAATGCTTATTTTGAAAATAAGAATTTTTTCCAACATGATTATACAAATTTTGTGTTTGCTTATGCATGATTTTGCCATGAAGGACAACTGCACCTGGAATGAATGGGTGAGGGGGAGAGAGCTCTACAGAAAGGTTGAGAGAGGTGTCTGCCAGCATGTGATGGGGCCTGTGGGAAGAACTGTCTGATTTCAGCTAAGGAAAAGTATTGTAGTGGTGAGAGCTAATGGGAGGGGATGTAATACTCCAGAAGAGTAACAGATAGCCTGGAGTGACTGGCATAGAAGGGAAGGGGAAATAGCCCCCACAGAGCATCCCCCACCCCCAGCCTAGAGCAGACATCGTGATGATGCTAGTGCATCAATTGGTGAACAAAGGGGGTGTGTGGGGTGGGGGAAGGGTACAGCCAGCATGCAGTGAGACCTGCGGGAACGTTCAGTGGGGACTTTAGGAAGAGGAGATGTATGGCTCCAGCAGGGAAAAGTGCTATAGCTGTTATGTTTCTTGACCCAGAAGGTGGTGAGAATTAATAGTGAGCAGAAGGTATAATACTTTCAGGATTGAGAGGTTGGGGCTTGGAGAGGGAGGTGGGCACTAAAGGGAAAGGACGATGGGGACACCACCAACAGTACTTCCCACTCAACTCCAGAACAGACTTTGATGACCTACCTCATTTGACCCTGCCATCCCCAAGGCATCTGCCCAGGGAAAAGCCTTCTCACAGATAATTGCAGAGCACTGTCTTGGGGGAAATGGGCCCAGTACTTGGGGGTTGGGGTAGGTATTGGCAGGATGAAGGGAGGGAAGATTGTCCCCTAGGTTACCTCCTGGAAGAGGCAAGGCCAAAGATCTCCAATTCCTGGTCATAGGGTGATTCCACTTATGCCCCAGTTGAGGTAGTGGCTGGTGTTATTGGTGACTGGATCTCACTATGGGAATTCTTCCTGTTGTGGCTTTTGTGATTGACCCTGGGACTGAGTTTGAGTGTTGTGCCCCAGCCTCATTTTCCCCATAAACCCTGTGGTTTTTATTGTCGGAATTTGCTTAACAGGGTGATTTTTAGGAAGGGATATGTGCATGTCACATCATTACATGCATATCACCTCAGTTGGGAAATTTGAATGTTCTGTCTAGGAATTTAGATTTATTGCAGAGTAGCAGATCTCTCACATTAGAATGCTAGCCCTTCTTTATCATACTCCCCCTTCCTATTGATTAAATAAATTACCTTTCTAGGTTCCTTTGAGTCTTGTGTTTGAGTTTTGAAGTTCCTATTCAGCTTTGGTCTTTTAAGCTGGCATATTTGAAAGTTCTTTATTCCATCAAAATTTGAATATTGTGTCTAGGAATTTAGAGTTATTGCAGATCAACCAACCCCCACCCACATTCTTGGTTTTTCTTATTTAAATCTCTTAGTATGCTTAAAATTTTTTTTAAATTTTATTTTCAGTTCTGAATTCTCTCCTTCCCCCAAGCCATTAAGAAAGCAAGAAAAACAAAATCCATTACAAATATGTATGTGTAAAACAACTTCATGCATTAGCCATGTCCAAAAAGAAAAAAAAAAGCTTCAGTCTGCACTCTTGAGTCTATCTCTTCTCTATTTGGAGGTGGATAGCATGTGGAACTATTATGTGGTTGGTTCTGTTGTACTGATCAGAGTTCCTAAATCTTTTAAAGTTGTTTGCCTTTACAGTATTGCTATTGTATGAATTATTCTTCTGGTTCTGATCACTTCACTTTGCATTAATTCATACAAGTCTTAAGTATTTCTAAAATCATCCCCTTAATCATTTCTTACAGTACAATAACATCCTATCACATACATATGTCATAACTTGTTCAGCCATTTCCCTGTTGATAGGTATCCCTTCATTTTCCAGTTCTTTGCCATAGATATACTATACTATAAATGTGTTTGTACATATGAGTCCCTTTCTTCTTTCTTTGATCTATTTGGGGCATAGATCTAGTAGTAATATCACTGGGTCAAAGGGAATGCACAATCTAATAACTTTCTGGGCATAGTTCCAAATTGCTGTCTGAATTGACTGGACCAGTTCACAGTTCTACCCTTTCATCATTTGCCATTTTCCTTTTTTGTCATTTTTAGTCTTCTGATGGGTGCGAGTTGGTACCTCAGAGTCTTCACTATACTTTGAAGACATAAAGTTTCTGATGGGACACTTGTTTTTTCTCCACCATTAGAATACTAACCCTTCTTTATTATACAGCCCCTTCCTATTGCTTAAATAAATTTATCTTTCTAGGTTCCTTTGAGTCTTGTGTTTGAGTTTTGAAGTTCCTATTCAGCTCTGGTCTTTTAAGCTGACATATTTGAAAGTCCTTTATTCCATCAAAATTCTGTTTTTCTTCTACAGAATTATACTCACTTTGCAGAGCAAGTTATTCTTTGTTGTAATGTTAATCTTTTGCCTTTTGATATCGTACACCAAGATCTCTTATTTATAGTAGAAGTTGCCAGATCTTGTGTGAGCTTGGCTGTGGTTCCTTGGTACTTGCACTCCTTCCTGGATGTTTGCAGTATTTTTTCTTTGATGTGGGAGCTCTAGATTTTGGCAATGGCATTGTTAGGTTTTTTCATTTAAAGGTTTCTTTTAGGAGGTGATTGGTGGATTCCGGATTCTTTTTATTTTTACTTCACCCTTTAGTTTTATGTATTTTTTTAATATCACTATAGTTTTCCAATTATATCCTTTACTCCTACCCATGAGAATTATTCTGTTTTTTAAAGACAGAAAAAAGAAAAAGGAGAAATCAGCATAATTCATCAATGCATTGAAAAAAAGTTTGAAAATATTTGTCATGTACAATACTTGTAGACCCTCAACCTGTCCAAAACGGTAGGGTGGGAGTATCTTCTTGTATCACTACTTTTTTTTTTTCTGGTGAGGCAATCAGGGTTAACATATTGCTACTTTTAAGCCATGCTTGTGCTTTGCAACATTCATTTTTTGATTTTTTTTGTGTGTGGTTCTTTCTGCTGTACTACATTGTTGCAGTCGTGTATGTTGTTTTCTTAGCTCTGGTTACTTCACTCTTCAGTTCATGTAGATCTTTCTATGTTTTTCTGTATTAACATTGCCATTTCTTACAGCACAGTAGCATTCCATTATATTCATATTCCATAATTTGTTTAGCCATTTTTCCATTTGATAGGCATTGACTTTGCTTCCATTTTTTTTTCTATCACAGAATGCTATTATGAATATATGCGTGTATTTGGCTACTTTCTGCTTATCAATGGCATCCTTGGATTATATATCTGATAATGGAAGCTCTGTGTCAGAGAGTACGGACATTTTTGTCACTTTGAATAATTCCAAATTGCTTTTCAAGTTGCACAGTGCATTGTTTCACATTTCCACCAACAGTGCACTACCTTCTCACAACTCCTTCCACAACAGTGTCTACCTTCTCACAGTTCCTCCGATCAACTGTTTTTATCATTTGTCATCTTTCCAATTTGCAAGGTGTATGGTGAAACCAAAGTGTTGCTTTGATTTACATTTATCTTATTACTAGTGATTTGAAGCATTCTTTAATGTGGTTGTTAATAGTTTGCAGTTCTTCTTTTGCGAACTTTGACATATCCTTTGACCTCTTAGCTTTTGGAGAATAGTTCTTGATCTTTTTTTTTTTTTTTTTTTTTTTTAGTTTTTAGGCAATTGGGGTTAAGTGACTTGCCCAGGGTCACACAGCTAGTAAGTGTCAAATGTTGGTCTGAGGCCGGATTTGATCTCAGGTCCTCCTGACTTCAGGACTGGTGCTTTATCCACTGCACCACGTAGTTGCCCTAGCTCTTGATCTTAATACATGTGTTAAGTGTCATACTAAACCCTTAGCAGAGAAATTTGACGCAAAAGTTTTTTTCCCAGTCGACCTTTCTTAACCTAGGTGCATTAATTTTGTTTATGCAAAGCCTTTCTGTTTCATGTAATCAAAATGATCTCTTTTATCCTTTGTAATTGCCTCTTTCTCTTTTTGGTTAAGAATACATCTCTTATCCGTATCTCTAAGTGGTCAATGATCTACTTCTCTTCTAATTTTTAATAGTGTGATCTTTAATACATCATACATGTATTTAGAATATTTAGTGGAATATGACATAAGGTGTTCTAAGCCTAATTTCTGCCAGATTGCTTTCCAGTATTCCTAGCAGTTTTTTTTTAATCACATAGGGAATACTTTTGTAAGTAATTTATGTTTTTCATTTCATCACTGATTTATTGAGTTCCATCTTTTCTGATTCTCCCTTGTCTGAGCTGTTCCACTGATCTGCCTCTTTATTTCTTTAATCAATCCCAGATGGTTTTAATCACTGCTGCTTTATAAGATAGTTGGAGATCTCTTCATCCTTAACTCTTTCCATCATTTCCCTTGATATTCTATGTCCTTTTTTCCCGATGAATTTTGTTATTTATCAAATTCTTTTAAGTGTCCCTTTGATAACTCAATTGTTATAGCATTCAAAGTATAATTTAATTTAATAGTATTATGATTTTTATTATACTGGCAGGGCAGAGTCAAAATCCCTGAATAT